TCGGTTTTTTTCCTTCTTGGTGTTAGGATTTGGCGTTGGCCACTACACTAGTAAGGCTATTTTATTTATACCGTGCGGAAGATGTTTCTAAGGAGATAGTTCTTTCAAGCAAAAGGTATGGATTTGTTAGGCGAGCATTCATTGTTGCTGCTGAAAATAAAGCTCTGACGAAGGAATTTTCAGAGTTGATGATTGAAAAAAATCCACCTGATGAAGTGAAAGAGATTGAGGGCTCTGACCAGGATGTCTAAGCCCCAACAACTTTTTACTACTCTTCTGAGCATTGCTAACAAGTATAGATAAGAGCTGTTAATCAAAATGAATAAGGGGGACGTGTCTAAGGCTGAGAATAAAACTTCAGTGAATGCACATATCTGATGCATTTATATGATGATCTCAGCTCTCCCATATAAGTTCAACCATTTTCTTTCAGTTGTCATTTCCTTCATTGTTCATTGTTTGGAATTGACATCAATAAACAGCCTCTAATTACTGAATTTTAGTTCAATTTGGTTGAATCTCATCAATGCAGAGAGGAGATAGAAGTCGAAACTGAAGAATTAAGAACATATGAATGTGGAATCTGCTGTAGAAGAGCTCATAGATCCCACTGTGGTCATTTGCCTTATAATTAGAATTCATTTAGAGTCAAGTGAGTGGCTAAGAAAAAGAAGTTTGTAGTGCTGGTGGATTCTCGAGCAAGACACAGTTTAATAAATCAACAAACAGAGCAGGAAATGGATGTTATTTCCCCTTTTTGTGCACAAAATGAATGTCATAGTAGCAGAGTGTAAGGCATCTCCAATCCAATCCTCTATTTTACTTTTCAAATATAGAGTTATCTATTTTTCTAGACAACCAATTCTAACCCAATACTTTATTTTACTCTCTAAAAATGAATCTTTTTCTCTCTCCTCAATATTATATTATTGTTTCTATTTCATTCTTATTTTCTTATTTCATAATATAAATCCTTTATTTCTTTTTCCCCATATATTACTTTATATAATATTTAATGTGATATGAAATTAGATTTTATTCTAAATTTTTAAATAACATAAATTGCAAGAAAATATAATATAATACATAAAATTAGGGGACAAATTGAAATAAAAGTGACATACAATTACATAAACACTCAATTTTCAAAATTATTACGTTGCTCCCATAAATACTCTATTAATGCATTACGGAGTTCAAAATGAGCATTTTTTGTCCTTAATTTTTTTATGTCTAGCTAAAAATTGTTCAAATCGAAGATTTTCATCTACCACCATTTTTATAGTTGGAGTTGGAGCACCTATGACATCTTGAATTGGTGCATTGAGATCACGTTCATCCTCAATTATCATGTTGTGCAATATAATACATGTAGTCATTATATCATGTAGTACGTGTAGTGATCTTTAATGCCAACATTCTAAACACAACGGTAATTTTTTGCAAAGTAGATAATCCAAATCTACCCAATGCATCAATGCGTTGTTCAAAGTACGTGTCGTGATCTTTAATTGCATCAACGATACGAAGAAACAAATTGTGGGACATTCGATAACGACGGCGAAATATTGCATCATTAAAGCGTGGTGTGGCTTAAAAATAATCACGAAATAAATTATCATCAGTCGCCTCACGATCACGATTGATTACCACATGACCTGGAATGGAGCCACCTATGAAAACTTCATTAGTATGATTTTGTAGAACTTGTTGGAACATGTAGTTGTTCATACGTAGCTGATTTATTAGATTATCATGATGTTCTGTACTAGGAAAAAAATTTCAAATCTAACGAAGATGATGATGAAGAAGAAAATTTTCATCATTATTATTAGAACAATCTCCAAGATTGAAATTCATTTTCAAAGGACAAACCAAATTACTTGAATATGTTTTGAAATGAAATGAATGTGCAGACTTCAAGCGGTAAATGGTGTTCATTATATAATAAGTAATGTTTTATCTAAAAAATATTAAATGTACTAATGAGAATCTCATCCAACCGTTTATAATAAGATGAAATCCATCTAATGGTGAATATGAAGATTACATTTTTAAATTATTGTTGTCATCAATTATGTATTGTATTTTATCTTGTATTTAAATTATTATGTTATGTATTATATTGTATTGTTATCTTGTATTTAAATTATTATGTTATGTATTGTATTGTTATCTTGTATTTAAATTATCATATCATGTATTGTATTTTTAAATTAATTTTTTTCATCTTGCCATTTTAATTTTGCGTATTCTTTATAATTAAAATTAATAATAAAATAAATTATTCACGAAAATTAGAAAAAAAATATTATTAATTTGAAATTAAAATAGTATATATTAAATAATATTTTAAAAAATATTATATTACATTTAAAAAAGAATTATGAATATTAGATAATTAATTAATGAAATTATATGTAAAATAATATGTTAATTAGAAAGTAAATAGAAATAATAATAAAATTATGAAAAAGTGAAATAGAGAGTGTGAATAGTAGTTCTCTAAATTTGAAGAACTACTATTCACCTCTCTAAATTTGAAGAATAGAGGGTGATGTGGAGTGCCCATCCTCTATTTTACTCTCCAAATATAAAGAATGGAGATGTCTTCTGTTCTTGTGATAGATGGATTAAAGTGCCACTAAAATTTTGATTTCATATCATTTACTATTTCTCTAATAACTTACACTTTTAGATAGAATGATCACATAGTTTAACACACCTTACCGAAGACGATAAAAGCATCTAGCCATCCCAATGATACAAAGGTACCTTGCTTGGCCAAGATGACTACTAATAGAGAGGCCACAGTCCCCAGGCTTGCATTAGCCCCTACTACGATTGCTTGTGCGTGGAAGTAAGTTAGTAAAAGTCAAACTCCCCTAGAACTCAAATCTAGGGGTGGGCGTTCGTATTCGGATTGGGATTTCCAAATTTCGAGTTCGGTAATTCGGTAATTGGTAGTTAAATAGATTTCCAAATATCAAAATTTTAAATTTTGATTCGTTAATCGGTAAATTAAACTTCCGATTCGGTTCGGTACGGTATTAATATCGTTCTATATGGAGGGACTATATAACAGAAAATCAACAAGCAAGAAGCCAAGAAAAGTAAATTGATACAATTATAAGATATATGTCTTTTAACTTTCTCTTTAGGCTTGTACTAATGATTATGAACCTGTTGTATATGGTCTTCATTAAGTAAATAATTTGGTATTCGTGAAATATTGTGGTTCTAACGTCTCGTACCAAATCCAAACCCGAATATAGTATTTTTAAAATTTTACTCTCAAATATCACATCCAATACCGAATTACCAATTACCAAAAATTTTGGTTCGATTTCGATATTTTATGGCCAGCCCTACTCAAAATCTCTCAAATAATAGCTACTGTGGGTTGCTTGTGCATGAAAGTAAGTTGGAAGAAACCAAACTCTTCTTATTATAAAGCTGCCTCTCTTATTCTGGTTATGAGAATGGTAAGCATTTGAAAATATATTTTTCTTTCGCAGAAATTTCTTAGTAGGCATCACCACCTTCTGGAAGATTTTAATAGTTCATCCAAATTACAGGTCTATTTAAGTACTTAATCACAACATTAACTTGGAACTAATCAAATATGTTTTTACAATTCTTGGTGTTAGGATTTGGCGCTGGCCACGACACTATAGTAAGGATATTTTATTTATACCGCGCGAAAAATGTTTGTAAGGAGATAATTCTTTCAAGCAAAAGGTATAAATCAGTTAGGTGAGTGCTCATTGTTGCGGCTCAAAAATAAAGTCTAAAGAAGGAATTTCTACCGTTAATGATTGAAAAGAATCCACCAGATGAAGTGGAAGAGATCGAGGACTCTGACCATGTGACCATGATGTCTATGCTCCAAAAACTTTATACTACTTTTGTGAGCATTGCAAACAAGTATAGATAAGAGCTGTTAATTAAAGAGAATAAGGAGACATTTGTAAGGCTGATAATAAAACTTCAGTCAATTCACATACCTGATCTCATTTCTTCTATGGAATTCCTATTAGTGAGCTAGTTAAATTTGACATTTTAATAATTTTCTTATGAATCAATAGGGGTGGCAATTTCAGCTAGTACTACACTTAATTTTTTTTCAAACTGACGATATTTCCTATAAACACAGATTAAAGTAGAAGAAAAATCATAAAGCAGACATAATTCAAAGAGTCTTAAAATAATAAATCCTGATCATATCTATTAAGAAAGGTCTAACTCCCACATTGATAAAGAGCCTCTAACCCCACTTGCCGTTCTTCGATTCAACAACAAATAGTTAAAGATAAAAATAAACCCTAGAGTAAACAAAAATATACATTTTTCATAAAAAAAAACTCAAAAATAATCTGAAGCGTACCTTGTTTTCTTGTGAAATACCCACGCAGTGTCCCCTTCCCTCATGAAACAAGGATTGAGGTGATGAGCTGGAACCCTTAATTTGAGATCCACTTGTTGTTCTCCTTAGTTCAGGAGCATATTCCATCTTCAATAGTGAAATTATAAATTCCTACTTAATAGAGATTTTGAAATTGAGAAATTAAAAAAAAAAAAAAAAGAATGCTAGGAGAAAGAAGGAAACAAGAGAGAATAATTTAGGGAATTAATGGTAAAATAAAATTTTCAATATTATATTTTTAGCGAGTCGGGTCATTAAATGGATATGTATTTGGTTCTTAAAATTTTGGTTAAAAATAAAAATTTCATATCAACAAATTTTAGTGAAAAAAAATAATTAAATAGGCTGAGTGACTTTCCATCCAAAAAAGTCATAGTTGAGTGAGTTTTGAGTTGAAAATGAAAATTGAGTGAAAAAAATTGATAGTCGAGTGACCATCAAAATTTATTAACTCCTTAAATAATTGCCAACTTTAAGGTTGCTTCTGTGGGTAAGTAAGTTAGGAGAAACCAACCTCCTCCAACTATAAAGTTGCCATGTAATGTTTCATTTTTCAAAAGAAGGGAAAAAAGATATGGAGAAAAGCAAGTTTCTGATAAGTCTAGTAGTTGTAATACTTGTGTTGCCGTATGCAAGTCATGCTACCTTGCGAGGACCTAAAGCTAAGAAGCACTTTGTGCTAGTGCATACGGCAGGCCATGGGGCCTGGACCTGGTACAAGATTGTGGCATTGATGAGATCGTCAGGGCATAATGTCACAGCTCTGGACTTGGGTGCTTCAGGGATCAACCCGAAACAGGCCCTCGAAATCCCACATTTTTCTGATTACTTGAGTCCGCTAATGGAATTCATGGCTTCACTCTCTGCTGATAAAAAAGTAGTTCTTGTAGGCCATAGCTTTGGTGGACTCGGCATTTCTAAAGCCATGGAAACCTTCCCAGATAAGATTTCAGCTGCTGTATTTCTCAGTGGTCTAATGCCTGGTCCAAATATCAATGCAACCACCGTCTACACTAAGGTACCAATTAATTTCCATTTTCCAAACTTTAGCCATGAGATGATCTGTTATGTTTCCTTAAACTTTACATCTTTGAAACTAACACTTCGTTATAGGCAATCAATGCAGTAATAACTCAACTTGGTACTCGTGTTACATACGATAATGGACCAACAAATCCCCCAACTACAGTCATCCTAGGTCCACAGTACTTGGGAACTTATATTTATCAACTAAGCCCAATTGAGGTAAGAAAATCCTAATACAAATATATGCAGTAATTGAAATATATAGCTTATTAAATTCTGTTATTCTGGTCATGAGAATGGCCCTAAAGTGACTACTTTCGCCAAAAACTATTAATCGGCATTACCTACTGGAAAATTTTAATAGTTAATCAAAATTACAGATCTATTTGTAACATCAACTTGGAACTGATTTAAATCGTTTTTTTTCCTTAGGATTTGGCGTTGGCCACTACACTAGTGAGGCCATTTTATTTATACAGCGCAAAAGATGTTTCTAAGGAGATAGTTCTTTCAAGAAAAAGATATGGATCCGTTAGGCGAGTATTCATTGTTGCTCCTGAAAATAAAGCTTTTAAGATGAAATTTTTAAGGTTGATGATTGAAAAGAATCCACCCGATGAAGTGAAAGAGATCCAGGGTTCTGACCACGTGACAATGATGTCTAAGCCCCAACAACTTTACACTACTCTTCTGAGCATTGCCAACAAGTATTAAGAAGAATAAGTGGGACAAGTGTAAGGCTGATAATAAAACTTCAGATAATTCACATATCTGATGGCTGATGCATTTAATTTGACATTTTAATCATTTTCTTTCGGTTGTTATTTCCTTCATTGTATTTTCAGTGTTTGGAATTGACATCAATAAACGATCTCTATTTCCTATAATTGCTGAATTTTAGTTCAATTTGGTTAAATCTCATCAATGGGGTCAAGATAGTGGCTAAGAAAAAGAAGTTTGTGGCCCTGGTGGATTCTCGAGCAACACACAGTTTAATAAATCAACAAACAGAGCAGGAGAGATATAAACTAGTCTGGTGGTTCGTTCTTTTTTCTTATAGCTAGCAATTGTTTTAGCTTTGCAAACAATTTGACGAATTTAAATACTAGTAATATATTTAGGTGATGCAAGATGGTAGTAAAATGAAGGCAATGATTGAGAAATTTGTTCAAAATGTCTTCTGTTCTTGTGATAGACAGATTAATGTGCAACAAAAAATGTTGTTTAAAATTTTGATTTCAGTTCATTATTTCTCTAATAACTTAAACTTTTACATCAGATGATCACAGAGTTAAACACTAGTTACCGAAGACGATAATAGCATTTAGTGGAGTGCCTTTAGTAGGATGTGCTTTGGAAATCCAAGAAGTCACAAGCCTAGAGGTACCTTGCTTGCCCACTTCTTCAAATAATAGCCAAACTCCTTTAAAAATCAAATGCCTCAAACAATAGTAGCTGTTAATTAAGAAGAATAAGGCGGATATGTGTAAGGCTGACAATAAAACTTGAGTCAATTCACATATCTAATGCATTTATATGGCGATCTCACTACTTTCATCGAAGTCCTTATTATCATGCTAATCAATTTGACATTTCATGAATTGACATCAATAAACAACCTCTATTTCATGTAATTACTTAATTTATGTTAAAGACCAAACAGTTAAATCTCATCAGCGTGATATGAATAACAAACCAATGCAAATTAGAGATCCATTTTCATTTTCTATGATAACTGTATTTGTACATGAATAAGACATTTCAAAGAAACTAACTTTGTCATAACAGAATTATGGATGTGTTACTTGAGTGTTTATTGCATATGATGAAGACCAAAGCAGTTTTATGTTCTGTTAGGGTGCATTCTTTAGTATATTTCCTATTTCTATCAGTTTCTTGAGATAGATATGTATATATATATATAATTTTTTCCGAAGTTAACGGGTGCACGTGCACCCCCAACCTATACATGTGGGTCCGCCCCTGATTATAAGCGCTATTGTTTGGTTGTACGAGTTTAATTATATAATTAAATTAAAATTTAAAATGAAAGATAATTATAAAAATTAGAAGTTAATATTTAACAAATATATGCCTTTGCAAAGAATGGAGTATTAAATTAGGCATTTAAGATAATATTATATCTTGAAAACTATATTAATAAAGGGAAACTTACGGCATTCGGATACGTCTCGATATATGTATCTTGAAATACATGGAATTAAAATTAGGTTTAATGTGTTCTAGATACACTGTATTCAAATAGATTCGCATGTATCTAAGATACATAAGACAAATCTCGCTTATCTCTCTCCAATCTCGCGACTCTCCTATGTATCTAGTATCCCAGATACATGCTAATCACACTAGATACATACAAATACATGTATCTAGTGTGTAGATCCATGACTTATTCGCTCGCCTCTCTTCCTATTTTAGTATATCTGTAGCAAAATACATGTATATAGGTGTATTTTCCTCAATATATTGTAGAAAACTCTTAATTAGTGATAAGATATATAATTATTTAAAAGTATATATAGAATCAATATATATTGTTGGGATAACCTAACTTGTTTTCAACGGGACAATTAAAATTACTAAATAATTTTAAAACTATTTTCATGAAAAGGTTTACATGAACAACCTTTCTGTACATATATACATAAATATACATCAGATGTCTATCAGAAGACGTTTTCTATGTTCATCTACTACCGTTTCTTTTGCATTCAAGTACATTGAAAGAGTAAAAACTAGTTCCTCTTCTAAACTCCATTATTTGTGGTCCTCCTTTTTTCTTTTATAAAAAAAGAACTTTTTAAAATGGAAAAAGACTATAGAGCAATATATATTCATCCCATTCTTGACACCAAAATTCAACAAAACGTGGCTAACATAGCCAAAACAACAAAACAAACTATGCTTCGGGGTGACTCAGTTGGTTTAATTTGGAGGGTGGTTATCCACACGGATGACCCAGGATCGATCCCCCTCAATGTCTTCTGAGTCGAGCCTATCGCATAGGGCTTGCTTAGTGCGGTTTACATCCCCTGTGTGGTTTGCATGCTATTGCACAGTGGGGGGTTTACCCAGTGCACACAAAGTGTTCACCACAGAGTGCTCACCCGAAGGGCAGAGGTTGTGACAGAGATTGTAGCAGCTGCGGGTTATCCTGGGGTTCCAAAAAAAAGAAAACAAACTTGAAATCTATAAACCCCCAATATGTTACATATGAATTGTCAGAAAAAATTGACATTACCCATTGTTTTTATCACGTGAACTCCAACAGAAAAGAGCTAAGTTTATTTCTTTTCAGTATATGGCTTTCATGTCAATACATAAAAATAAAAAAATAAAAAGCACCAAAAAAAGAAGAAGTGAATGGACTTCTTTCCGACACCCCCATCTAGACCAAAAAACAAATAAAATGCAGTTCTGATACCAATGAAAAATTTAATCAAGCACAGTTTACAAAATTATTGAATTCATATCACTAATCTAATAGTGTAATAATTGTTGGGTATTTGCCCTGAGTTTCTTACCATAATTGAGTTCTCCTTTTAGAAAAAAAAATGTAATCTCCATATTTGGCTAGTTCTTTTCTTGTAGGAAAATTTTTATGATTCTATAAATAGAGGGTTCATTCCTTCTAATACAGTAGCATTCACAATGTACTCCTAGGGTTTTGAGAGTTTTGTGTAGGGGAAAATGTGTGAGCAACAAGTGTTACGTTACCTCTTTGTATTTCGAGTGAATTGGGTGAGGTTATTCCTCTCTATATTTTATGCTCTCTTCTTTTATATAGTGGATTGCTCGTCTCCTCTTGTAAATGTAGGTTGATTGACCGAACAAAGTTAAATCTTTGTGTCTTTTGGTATACTACTTTTGACACGTGCGTTGCACGTGATTATGAATTCCAAAAATATATGTTATAGTAAATATAGTATTGCTTATTTAAGCGAAGATTTGAATAATAAGCTTTGGAAAAAATAATATTGCAGTTTCTTTTGTGAATGTTCAATGTGGATTGTCATATATATGTCTTTTTCATGCAAACCTATGAAGATGGTCAATGAAAAATTTTATTAGTTAAATGCAATAATGTATATATTTATTTCAATTTGATGAGGTTCAATCATGTAATTAGTTTTATCTCACTAATATTATCTTACAGACATTATTTGTTTTGTGTTTTCTTGTCATCTAACAAATGTGCTTTGCATGTGTATTCCACGTTAAATTGTTTAGATGTCAAATGAACATGTGAAGAGAATAACTATATTTTATATATTCACATATTTTCACATTTGTTGTGAATATTATTTTTCAAAAAAAAAGAACTCGGAACATTTTAAAATAATATATTTTGAAGTTAGAAGATCTTGTTAACTTGATAATATATTTGTGACGTATATAATACTTTAATTTAAATAGAAATACCTACCCAAATATAAATATATATTTGCATTAATGAAAATATGTATTTCATAAAATTAGCTATTAAATAAATAATAAAAATTAAACTAATACAAACTTCAACTGACGTTATTACAAGTCATATGAACTTTTCTTCGTCTAAAATACTGAAATATTAAGAAATAGTAAATAAGTAAAACAAAGGGGCAATGTTTATATAGTAATAGTTATTTTGAAACAAACTTCATGAGAGTCTAAATCATATAAGTAACATTGATAAATAAAATAATTCTTTTGTCTTGAGCATAAAAAACAAATCGTGACAATTCTCTAAATTTTGGAAAAAAGATATTCAAAAGTATATAACTACATCACAAGAGAAATCGTTAACAAAAACAAATGAATTTAGACTACATCATGTTAACTTCGTATGTTGGAACATTACATACTAATGTATATATCAAGCAAAAAAATAATTATTATATCATCAAAATTATTTTCCTCAAGTACTCGAGGTAATGGAATATACCCTCTTAGGATAGAATGACTTACTTCATCAGAATAGTGGTACCTCATATTCCGCTACACTTCGAACTCACTCAACGATAATAAATCACAAAAAATATTAAAATGCAAGAAGAAGAAGAGTAGAAGATTAAAAAAAATTATGGTTGAAAAATGAGACGAAGCCGCTCTATTTATATTCAACAAAGGGTAGTATGAACAAATGTTTTTTATGTCTTATCTGAAAAGTTATGATCTTTTCGAGAAGTCACAACTCTTTGGAAAAGTCACAACTTATTGAAAAAGTGACACCTCTTTGGAAAGTCATAACTCATTGAAAAATCATAACCCTTTGTAAAAGTCACAACTCATCGAAAAAGTCACTACTCTTTGAAAAAAGTCACAACTCATCGAAAAAGTCACAACCTAAGTTAGGGATATTATAGTATTTAACATTCAAGTTAGGAGTTCATGCTTTTAAGGTAACTAGCTTCACGACACATGCGTTGCACGTGTGTCCCATGCTAATTTTTATATATTCATAAGAACAATTAGAATTCTACGTGTACATGCCTATAACGAATAATAAAATGCAACAATTACAAATAAAATTTTAAAATTGTGACAAGAAACATCAAATGAGGGATCTTATTTTAATGTTTAAAATGTATTTTAAGCAACAAATTGCAAATTTAGAACTTTAGATAGTAATTAGCCAATTTGCATTATAGTCACAAAAAATTAATTTTAGCCTAAATCAAAATACACTTAGAACAATCAGAAATTTATGG